TTCCAAAGTTTAACTCTCAGCTGCTTGAAGAAGGACTTCCTTTTATTTGTCCTGAATCTTCCAGCATTGAGCTTCATTGGATGCCAAGCAACAGCAAAGGATCCAGGAAGACCTTCCTGCTTCTTCAGAGGAAGTATAACCCCATCAAGAACCTCCTTTCCATCCGGTCTAGGGAACTGGCCCACTCACAAGGTCTCCATCTTAGCTAGGTTGGTCCTTAGTTTATTGGTTCTCATCCAGTCCAATACCAAGGCAAGACTTTTCCAACTCCTTTTCAGGGTGAGGCGACCAGAACTGTACAAAGTGTTTCAAACACAGTCATGTCATAGATTTGCATGTCATTATGATGTCAGCAGATTTATCACCCTCATCATTTATTTTCAGCTGATTTCCCAATCATTCCGTGGAATCTTCTCCTCTCACTGCTGCCGCACGCTGTGTTGACACCTTCATTGAACTAACTGGTATAACCCTGATCCTACCTAGGCATGCCCATGCTGTTTTTTTTGGGGGGGGGGAGCTCCCCACATTCACTATTCCTTCCAAGCTTTGCCTGTTAGAATATTCCGCTCCACCTTAAGGGACAGGCATGAGACTGTTGTGTGTCACACGTCTGTTTACACTCCAGCACTGCTTGCTGGGAACTTCCATTTGTGTATAGCTTTTGCTTATGCTGCTTGCTTTGGACACGAAAGGGATCAGACATGTTTTCCTTTTGTCCTGATGTATGCTGAATAAGGGGCGCAGGTGGCACTGTGGGTTCAACCACAGAGCCTAGGGCTTGCTGATCAGAAGGTCGGCAGTTCGAATCCCCGCGACGGGGTGAGCTCCCGTTGTTCAGTCCCTGCTCCTGCCAACCTAGCAGTTTGAAAGCACATCAAAGTGCTAGTAGATAAATAGGTACCGCTCCGGCGGGAAGGTAAACGGCGTTTCCGTGCGCTGCTCTGGTTCGCCAGAAGCGCTTAGTCATGCTGGCCACATGACCCGGAAGCTGTACGCCGGCTCCCTCAGCCAGTAAAGCGAGATGAGCGCCGCAACCCCAGAGTCGGCCACGACTGGACCTAATGGTCAGGGGTCCCTTTACCTTTACCTTTATGCTGAATAAACTGCTTGTAAATATACTCAGACAGCCTCTCCTGCCACTTCTGTTTGTGCGTTATCTCTGCTGAGTAGCGTGCCCCAGCTTTTGAAGCTGTGGGTCGCAGACGCTGCAACAAGGACTGGAGATTGCCCGGCACACCGGCCGGTGGGCTGGAGCCAGCTGGGGGCCTTCCAATTGCCCCTGTTTCCTTGGTTGTATGCCAACAGCTCTGCCTCTCCCTACGTCAGTTATCCATGCAGGTAGGAGGAAGCAGGTGAGCTCAAGGACCCTGATCTCCAAAATCACCCCTGAAGCACCAGCCTCCGTTGGTCTCATGACAGAGCCGGCTCTCCCTGTAGCCCGGAGCAAAGAAATCTCTGGGGTTCTCAGGAGGGGGGGCGTTTTTTCAAAGAGAATTTTCCATTATGCTACTTTTCAGAACAGCAGTTTTTTGGCCACCCTCCACATTCGGGGTTTTCAAAGACAAGGATGTTGGAACATTTGCCAAGATAGAAACTGCTGCACTCAGCAAACCGGAGGGCAGGGGGATTAGGCTTTGGAAACTGCAAGAGAAAGAGGAAAAGTGTTTTAACTTTTGTATGTTTTAAAGCACAGCTGTGAATTTCCCCCCGTTTCCTTGTTTTATCTTTTTGTAAACCGCTTTGAGGGGACACAGGTGGCGCTGTGGATTAAATCACTGAGCCAATCAAAAGGTTGGCGGTTCGAATCCCCACGACGGGGTGAGCTCCCGTTGCTCGGTCCCTGCTTCTGCCAACCTAGCAGTTTGAAAGCACGTCAAAGCGCAAGTAGATAAATAGGTACTGCTCTGGAGGGAAGGTAAACGGCGTTTCCGTGTGTTGCTCTGATTTCGGTGCCAGAAGCAGCTTAGTCATGCTGGCCACATGACCCAGAAGCTGTACGCTGTCTCCCTCGGCCAATAAAGCGAGATGAGCGCCGCAACCCCAGAGTCGTTCGCGACTGGACTTAACTGTCAGGGGTCCCTTTACCGTTTTAAACCACTTTGAGGTTTGTTTTTTTACAGTCAAGTAGTGTGTGTGTGAGTTTCATGAACATGTTTATGATAAAACTATGCCCTACTTCTCAATCCTTTCCTTGCTCCATGCAAACTGTTTGAAAAGCAGGGAGACCAGTCTGCATTGGGGAGATATTTGGCAGTCTCCAGAATACTTGGACTCTGGATCGGTCCAGAAACCTCCTTGTGCAGAGGAGAGATGTGCTTCCCGCAAGGTTGGCATCAGGAGCTGAACTAGTTGGGCCTTTGGAGAGACATGGCTGGGCTGTTGTTATTAACGTTTTATTAGGTTTTGACAGGGAGGAAACAGAAAGGTCTGTTCACAGTTATTTGTTTCTGTAAGAACATAAGAAGAGGAAGGGGACCCAATGACCATTTAGCCAACCTCCTGCAATGCAGGAATATCAATCCCTGACAGATGGCCATCCAATCTCTGCTTCAAAACCTCCAAAATGGAAAAGTCCACCACCTTCTGAGGGAGACCATTCCACTGTCAAACAGCACTTACTCACAAAGTTCTTCCTAATGTTTAGCTGGAATCTCCTTTCTTGTACTCCTTAACTTAAAGAAAACAAAAGAGGTTATTGTGGACTTTAGGAAATGTAAATTGAATTTCAGCCACTTATTATTGAGGGGAAGTGCGTGGAACAGGTCTCGGTGTTTCAGTTTTTGGGAATGGAGTTGAGAGATGACCTAACCTGGGGAGAAAACAGCAAAGACCTGATGAAGAGAGCACAGCAGAGGTTATATTTTCTGACAATCCTCCGGAAAAACAATATTTCAAAGGACCTGTTGATGGCATTTTACCATTGTACTGTGGAGAGTGTATTAACTTATGGTCTGTGTGTGTGGTTTGGGAGCTGCACGGCCAGGGAAAAAACAATGCTGTCCAGGGTTGTAAAGACTGCAGAGAGAATAATTGGGTGCACTCTTCCCACCTTGGATCAAATCTATGCTTCCAAGTGCCATAAGAAAGCTGCAGAGATAGCACAGGATAGTGCGCACCCTGGAAATGATCTCTTTCAACTTCTGCCTTCTGGAAGAAGGTAAAGGTAAAGGGACCCCTGACCATTAGGTCCAGTCGTGGCTGACTCTGGGGTTGCGGCACTCATCTCACTTTATTGACCGAGGGAGCCGGCGTACAGCTTCCGGGTCATGTGGCCAGCATGACTAAGCCGCTTCTGGCGAACCAGAGCAGTGCACGGAAACGCCGTTTACCTTCCCGCCAGAGCGGTACCTATTTATCTACTAGCACTGCGTGCTTTCGAACTGCTAGGTTGGCAGGAGCAGGGAGTGAGCAACGGGAGCTCACCCGTCACGGGGATTCGAACCGCCGACCTTCTGATCGGCAAGTCCTAGGCTCTGTGGTTTAACTCACAGTGTCACCCGCGTCCCTTTTGGAGGATTAAGAGGGTGCATATCTCTGTAGTTAGAAAAAAACATAGCTGTTGTCTGTAAATATTCATTATTATAATAAACCATATTGACGGCATATAAGTGTAGAATGCCTTTAGACTTAGAAACACACTTAGGTAGTTAAGGAGGATCTGTGGAAATATTTAGGTAAGAAATTAGAAGGTTGGAAAGGTTTGTTGCAAACCTGTTACTTTTACCAAATGGGTATATTTCCTGTTAAATGTTGTTCTGTGTAAGATTAACTGACTTTGTTTTTCTTAACTTAGATCTGAAGAAAACTCTCGCCGTCCTACTAGACAACATCCTGCAACGCATTGGGAAGCTTGAGTCTAAAGTGGAGAACCTTGTAATCAATGGCACAGGTGCAAACTCCACAAATAGTACCTCCACTGCTACTCCCAGTTCAGGAGCAGCTGAAAAACTCAATGTTGCAGGTGGGTGTGAAAGTTGCTGCGCCTTTTTTTTTAATTCTGTTTTACAGTATCAAATATCCAAGATGGTATGAATTGATCCTTCTGTTTTTTTAAACGGCAATGGACTTCAGTCTTTGGTGTCAAATCTTAACTGAAGGAAACTGCACCTCTTGTCTTATCCTAATGTACTTTTATAAGACCTTAGGCTGCAGTCATACTAGTGATTAAGTCCAAGTAGTCTCAATGGAACTCCTAGTCTGAGTAAACAGGCTTGAACCCTCTAATGAATAATGCTTAGCATTTATCTTCATTCATGGGCTCAGGGTCTTCCCATACATTTTAGTTAGTTGTTTGTTTTACTATTTATATGCTGCCCATCTGACTGGGCTGCTCCAGCCACTCTGGACAGCTTCCTACAAAATATTAAAACATAAAAAACACAAAAACTTCAAACATTAAAGGGCTGCCTTCAGATGTCTTGTAAAAGTCCGATAGATGTTTATTTCCTTGATACCTGATGGGAGGGTGATCCACAGGGCGGGCACGACTACTGAGAAGTTAGGTTTCATGGGCATGCATTAGTTAAAGCTATGATTCTTGCATAACCAGCATTAAGTGAACTGGTTTAGTGAGATCAGTGAGTTTTAACTAATGCTGGTGCCTGTGACTTAAAAGTTATCTAATCTGCAAACATGCTTTGCTAAAGAAGGTTAATGTAAGGAAGCCGGTTGATCAGTGATCAACCATGTAAAATAAAGCAGCCCCCCTGCAACATAACAGTTTATTGTGATGTTATGTAATCCCTTTGTTTAAGTAACTTGAAAAGGTATGCAATTATATAGCTTTTGTATTCTGTATTGATAATAAAACCAGATCAGAGAATCCACCTATTTTTTTTATAAAAACAACAACCCTTAAACATTTTTGTTTCTCTTGGCAAGCATGAGGCACACAATTATGTGTCTGTCTTTTATATCTAGTGTAGAATTCAGATTTAAGTTGATGACATTATTTTACCACTTTCTGGTGCAGGGCAATAATATAAATAATATGTCAGTAAAGGGAATTTATTTTTAAAAGATTGCACATAACAGATGTGATACAGATCAATTTGAGCAATTGTGAGTGGTTTTTTACCCCCTTGGAGGAATGTTTAAGCTTCAGAGAACACGGGAAATGTGATAAGGGTGTTTTTGCTTCTTTATAATAGATCTGCTATGTGATTCTTAGATTACCTTTTTATTTTTGTAGTTGTGTCTATGATTACCACACACGGTGGGATAAAGAAGTTACTAAAAGTATTTAAAGTTTTAAGAAGAGTGCTATCTAGAAGATGCATAATTTGTTGAACAATAAGTAGCAGGCTTATAAGACACTCAAATCTTAGAGTTTCCCAAGGGAAGCAACTGAACGAGAGAAACCGTTCCAAAACGTTCAGAAACCAAAGTGCGGCTTCTGATTGGCTGCAGCAAGCTCGGAACCAATCGGAACCTGCGGAAGCCCCATCAGACATTCGACTTCCAAAAATAGTTTGCAGGCCAGAACAGTCACTTCCAGGTCTGCGGCGTTTGGGAGCCAAAACGTTCGAGAACTAAGCCGTTCAAAAACCGAGATACAGCTGTACAAATAATGCTACATTATTTGGAGCCAAAATTTTATTTCTTGTTTCTTCTTTTGGCACCTTGACCTTGTAATGCATTAGGTCTTATGTATACTAAGAGACACTTTTATAGAGCCAAGTTTAAAACATAGGTCTTGACTCTTTCCCCTTAAAAAGCAATCTTCTTTTTGCATGATGTGTCACATGAGCTGCCTGTTTCAACAACATGCTGTAGTTTCCTCTAAGCTCTTTAGCTTGTTATGTCTGTCTGTTGTCCCACCGGCGTATGACACTATGAATTTCTATTCATGTTATGTATTTCACGCTTCATAGAACTTTGAAGAAGCATTAGCTTTGCAGTGCTTCTTCAAAAATGAAACTCATTTGAAACAGCTAATCATCCCATTTTATGAAATCAGAACCAAAGTATAATGGCTTGTGGAAGACTGGGAACTGGGGGGGTTTATGCTTATAGTGAGATTTGATCAGATGGTTGCATATACTAGTCAAACACAGTAAACATCATACCAACTTACATTCTGTGATGCAGCAGCAAAAAAGCTAATGCTATTCTAGGCTGCATCATCAGAAGTCTAGTGTCCTGATCAAGTGAAATGATATTCTCAACCTATTCTGCCTTGGTTAGACCACACCTGGAGTACTGTGTCTAGATCTGGGCAGCACAATTTAAGAAGGATATTGACAAGCTGGAACATGTGCACAGGAGGAGGGCAAACAAGATGATAAAAGGTCTGGAAACCAAGCCTCATGATGAACAGTCGAGGGAATTCAATATATTTAGCCTGGTAAAGAGGAGATATGGTAGCCATTTTCAGATATCTAAAGGGCTGTCACATGGAAGATGGAGCAAGCTTGTTTTCTCCTTCTCCAGAGGCTAGGATCTGAACCAATAGCTTCAAGTCACAAGAAAAGAGATTCTGATACCTTCAGGAAGAACTTCCCGACAGTAAGGGCTGTTTGACAGTGGAATGGACTACCTTGGAATGTGGTGGACTCTCCTTCCTTGGAGGTTTTAAGCAGAGGTTAGGAGGCCATCTGTCATGTATGTTCTAGTTGAGATTCCTGTATTGCAGGGGGTTGGACTAGATGACCCTACAATTCTGTGACTGTATGATCACTCGAAGCATGGAGTTTGTACTGAGAGAACAGGAGGGCAGATCTCTTTCACAAAAGATAAAGGTGTGACCTTGCATGATTGAGTTGCTGTGAAGCTGCACTGCTTCCTGACTCTTCAAAGGTCTGCCATGAGCATATGATTAGAATGTTGCGGTAATATATTTGCTGATCACATCTTTCTTGCTTTTAGTGCACAGAGTACACCAAAATCTTTTTCATTAAAGAAGTGCATGTCAATAACCAACCATTTAAGAAATGGTGGCATTTCAGCTCTGTTTTGAAGTTCATCACATGAGGTCTTTGAAGCATAGGAACTCTGTTAATACATAGCCCTTTACTATTGATCCCCCAGAAAATCCTTACAATAAGGTTAATTCTGCATTGCCTATTACCCGAATACCTACTAACTGTTGATCTAAGTAAGAAGGTGTTATTTACTGCTATGTTGTTTGCTTATACTATTTTGCTCACCTATATTGTTGTTAATTTTCTTATTCATATCCATTTCATTTGGGAGGCTTGCATCCAATAACTTTGGAGGGCAACTGGTTTCAAAGAACAGGGAAAATTGCCTGATTGGGTCATGGTGGTGACAGCCCTGTCTGTAACTATTAAAGCTCTTGTGATAAATATGTATTAGAAAAACTGAAATGTGCTGTAGGTGGTCTGCAGTCAGTATTGGGGATTAACTACTTGACAGTTACTTGAACATTTTAAAAGTTGCATTATTTCAGTCAAGTGTTAATGGAAGGCTGCTAGCTCAGCAGGTATTTTTTGAGAACAGAAGGAATTTACTTTTATTTCTTCCCAAAAAGCCATTAATGCTTCTGTTGGCATGGAACTGTGAAGCATTTTACCATCTCATTCAAAAAGAAAAGGTTTTCATAATTCATATCGCTTCTGCCTAAGCCCCTTTTTGTGAGTTGAAGGGAAAAAAATGAGTGTATAAATAAGAAAAGAGGTTATAAAGTAACTATTAATGCTGCCTCAGCTTATATGTGAATTTCATCTTTGGGCACTTGTTCTCAAGACAGAAATAGTTTTGGGTTTGGGAGGAGACAAAACAATAAGAGTTTTGTAGGAACTCTGAAGAGTTGACACATAATATTAATTTTCAAAAGGAAATGGGCATGTCTGCAATAAATGAGTGAAAGCAAATGGAAAAGTCTAATCATAAGTGCAGTCTCTCCTAGTAACACAAAACTAGGATTTTTATTGATTTATTATATTTATAGAACAGCCATGATAAATGCAATGCAGAAGGATCCCAAGATGGGCTCCCACCAGTGAGCTCACTGGATCCAGTCCTGCTTAGCTTGAGCAAGGTGGTTGCCTTCAGACAACATTGAAAGCAGGTTCTCAGAAGAGGGGCAGCCAACATGATGCCCTCCAGATGTTGTTGGACTACAACTCCCATAATTCCTGATCACTGGCCATGTTGGTTTGGGCTGATGACAGTTGGAGTCCAACAACATGTGGAGGGCATCATGTTGGTTGCTTTAGATGCTGTGGTGGCACCCAGGTTCCAGACAAACTTTGTTCATTAACGTCCCATGTTTTCCCCACAGTGGATGAGGCAATTGTATTCAAGCACGCCAACAGCTACTGCTTGCCGCAAGCTAATGTATTGGGGCCAACTTGGATGCCACCCTCTCTGCAATAACGAGTTTCAAAATCTTAGTAGTGCAGGGCAGAAATGGAAAAGCTGAGCAAGGACAGCAGCTGACAGCTAAATCCAAGCTGCAGCATCACACGTAAAAAAAAATTGGATTTATTTTAAGGAAATTAGAATCAAAGCAGATTCACACATACTGTATACAGTAAAAGAATATATTTCAAAATCTGACCAAGAACCAGGTATCCTGATTGTACATTCTTATAATTCATCCTAGGTTCTTAGGGTGAAGGGTGGGATCATCACCATCACCATAGTAATGATATCTGTCAATTTTGGTTTGCAAGGCTGATTCTGATAAGGATCTTACCTGTGGAGTCAAAAAGGTTCCCTACCCCTGAAGTAAATGGAAGCAGTCAGGGTTTTAAAGAACCGTTGTGAGTATAGACCTGGTAGACAATCAATAAATGATTACATTTCTGGGATAGTATTAGGATGCTGGTCCTACTCGGAGAAGAGCCATTGCATTTTAATGGCTATGACTCATTTAGGTCTGTTAACTTTGATGGGTTTACTCTGAGTAGGACATTGTTAAATGCAACCCCTAGCCTTTTTGTTTTTGTTTTTAATGACTTACTGTCATTGAACCGAAAGAAGCAGATTGTGATGAAACTACACCCTGTTGCTCCTCATTCCTTGTATTGTATTGCCTACCGGTAACTGGTTTTAGAGAGAACCTACCCTGCACACTGAATTGCTGAAACATGTTGACTACATTTTTCTTTAACATATAAAAGGATACCTATTTGTTTCCTTGCTGGAGTTGTTCCATGGACCTAACATGGTGTAGCTTGTGCTCACCTTAAAATATTTGGCTATGGTATTGTATCACAGCCTTGATGTGCCCTTTGTGGGTGGGAAAGTGTACCTTATTAGGCAGCAATCATGAAAAGCTTGTCAAGACGGGAGGATAGAATTGCAAGTTTTGATATGCCCATGTGGATGAATACCCTTCCAACGTATCTTGGAGCTGGCAGGTGCTTCATGCTTTGCTTCCACAAAGTAATGATAAACAATGTGACATCATTATTCCACCTAACCCTATTTATTTTTACCTTTTTTGGTGAGTATATCAAACAAAAGACTACTAATGCAGGAAAACACCCGTCTAATACTTTGGATTGGTTCAGAATTGTGAGGTGCAGGCTTAAAGCATATTTTTCCCTTGTAATGTTTGTCTCCACCCAAATGGTCCAATTGCGGGGGGGGTGTGTGTGTGTGTGCGCGCGCTCTTATGCAATGATTTTTCTCAGAATGTTGAGAGTAATTCTGTTCATTGCGTTATAGGATTGGATATTACTCAGCAATTTCTGGAGGAACCTGATATTTTCTTTATTTTGAGACCTCTGTGCTATTTCTATTTGTAGTTAGTATTCCTTTTTCTTCTCTGGTATGTTGATGGTTCCACCACCCCCCCACCTTATTTGTTAGCTAGTCAAATGATGTATTCTTGGGTACCGTAGGTTGAAGCACCTGCAACTCCATCTCAAATACTAGTTGCATTTGTAATTAGTCAATTATCTTTGACTATAAAGAGAAGGATTTATCTTTTTCCTGCTTCATGCATATACAAGACAGTATTGTTTTGTTCAGGAAGTTGCAATACACTTCATGTTCCTAAGCAACTGAAGTTTATTTAGTATGTTGTTTTGAATAACTCCTCCTGGTCTTATCTCTTCATGCTGCATCACTGGAAGTGTGTCTTTGGGTTATGTGTTTCTTCTTCATTCCTTATTTCACAGAGAAGGCAACGCCTGAATCAGGGGTTTCAATGTGTTTAAATAAATGTAAGATTTCCTAGTTTAGGTGCTAACTTTTTATGCATGTGAGAAAGTGTCTGAGCTCAAAAAGCTACCCTGATTTTATCAACGCATAGAAGCAAGATCATATAAGGATTGTCTGAATACCCCCATGTTTGCATACATTTCAGTTCTCCCTGCATTTCCCAAAAACACCTGTTTCTCCCACCTTGTGGTTTCAAAATGCCTACATTGCTTGCTTTGAAAATCATTGTTGTTGTTGTCGTCGTTATCATTATCATTATTATTATTATTGCATTTTAAGGGCCAGAGCTCACCACAGTTGCTGACTTTGGTTTCATAGCAAGTTACCGGTAAATTTAATGCTGCATAGGAAACTGAGGAGAAGGAAATATGAGGTAGAATGCCTGAGCCTGCATCTGGTTTCTGATCCTCCAGACCACTGAACCAGAACCAGTGCCTGGCAGACAGCCCCATACGCTACCTGCATCAGAAAGTGAGAAGTAAGAATGGTTCCTATTGCAAAGGATAGTGAAAGTGAATATTACCTCCTTGAAATTTTGCATCTTCTCCTGCAATCTTCAAGCTACTCTTTTAAGCCAGATCTCTAGGGGGGGGGTGTATGTGTGTGTGAATTATTTCTTTCTCCCTGGCAGGGTGGGGAGTCCTTCTAGAAATTATAAATAGAAAGGCCATTTTCTATTCAAGCCCATGACAGAAAAATCTATAATGAATCTCTTGCAAACTTCTCTTTGAATTAGCTTGCAGATTGTGTAGTGAAGGACAAGTATAGGACTCAGCTAAATTAGTGACCCTACATAGGCTTTTTATGCTTGCTAAAGCCGTAGTCAAAATGTCAGCTGTCCAGCTCAAACTCATCAGATATTGGCTTCAATTATGTTTCTTAATTGTTGAGAATCTGATTGAATTGACAGCAATCATTGTTGTTACCAAGACTTGCCTTTTCAGTTCTCCCTCCTGTAGTTCCAAGGACTTTGAGGCAGAGAGGTCAGTGCCCTTCAAGCAAAGCCCCATTTATTGTCCTTGATACACCACCTTCATGATAACTTCCAGCTGAGTCAATATTATTTGCAAACAAGCCTTGACATGTTGCTTTGATACATCTGGTGCTCTGTGTGTGTTATGTTTTATTTAAGCATTCCTGTTATGACCTGAGCTTTATCATAGCATAAAAGCTATGTATGCGAGTACTTAACAGTAGCGTTCTATCTCCTTGGTTTGGTATTAATTTTGTGCACTCTTCTTTTGCTGCCTACACTGTGCTATAGTTTGTCTACAATGACATTTTAAATAAAGCTTGAACCATTTTAATATGCTAGGAGATGCGTTGCTTGGAAATGGCTATACTTGTGCCTTGAGGTGATATTCACATGCTAAAGAGTCCCTTCACATTTTATATAGCACAACTCTTCTGAAAGACCTCCCAAGGAGACAATGGGTGCAGAAAACTATTGCTGCTATGATGCCATTGCCGAAACAAAGTAGGCACTCTAATGTGCCATTCTGGAGGTCATAATTGAATCAAGTTTTCCACCACCTATATTTAGTACCAAATCTAAACACTACAAATGAACACTTAACATATAAAATGCAGGGCTGGAGAGAGTGTAATTGAGTTACACCGTCACCCAGCTAACCAGCACCATGCCTAGATGTTCAGATGAAAATAAATCTTCAGGGCCTTCTGAAAAGACTGCAATGTAGCGAGGGATTTGGTTTATATCTGCTCCTTTCATCGGTGCAGATTTAGAGTGTGGAACTGCAGGAGTTACTCCATGGAACCCCAGAAATCTAGAGTTGGAAGAGACTCTGAGGGTTATGTAGTCCAACTTCCTGCAACCTGCAGTTCCCCATCCAATTTGAAACCATACTGGACCCTCTTAGTTTTGCAAATGTGCTAGCAGTTTTATTGCTGCACCACTAGAAGGCATTCCACTGATTTATTCCTTGTGTTAGTGAACAACATTAGATAACATCCTGGATTAATAATTTGGGGTGGGGGAGCAGGCTGAGTTCTTTGCAGTAGTAGAGGAGAGTGTGGTTGGGTAGTGATTGAATCAACTGCCTGAGTTATTTCTGCTTTGCACAGATGGACTATTGTAGGAATGAAGAACCTGTGGCCCGCCAGATAAATGTTGGACTCCAGCTTCCATCAGCCTAAAACAGCATGACCGGTGGTCATGGATGATGGGAGATGTAGTCTACAACATCGGGGGGGGCTGCAGGTTCCTCATCCTTGGTTTACTCATGAGAGCCAAACATGTCCATCAGCCACCAGGGGCAGGGCATTTTAATAGGCACACCACACCTGCAAATGTTAGAAACATCTATGAATCTAAACCTCACAAGGAAATGGGCTGGCTGACCATGACAATGAAATGAAAAAGAACATCCTACTATCAAATCATCAAACTTATGTTTAATCAAGAACATGAGGTCAAGGTATGCAATCTGTGGTCAGGCTGATAGTCATGGGGCTGTCCCAACATGGGATGGAAAGATCATCAAAAGCCACTAGCCTTTGTCCTCTGCACAAAGTCCCATGTGTATACACAAACTCCTCACACATGACTTTCGGAATCACATGCGGACTGGGTAGAGCCAGATAACAAGGAGAAAGAAATCTCTGGTGCTCAGATCCCCAGGTTCTGACCAACATCCCGTCTCTCTCTTTATTTTCATACCCATAATAATGTGTGCCACTGTAAATGCATGTGCTCCATGCAGTGATAATGGGGAATGCAGCCTTAAAATGAATTAAGCTTGCATCTGTGTTCTGAGGTTTGTCAAACATTTGACTCTCAACTGCTCATTGAATGATTGCTGTACTTCAGTTTAACAAATAGGTTAATTGCATTTCTGCTTAGGAATTTGTCTGTGCTTAATTATAAATGATGAGGAATTATTTCCATTTTTTAATTCTTAACAACCTGTTCTGTTTGAGCACAATTGCTGCACATTCAGTTTTATTCCTACCTGGTTGTATGGCCTGCTTTTAATTCTCCGTTCTTGGGGGCCGGGGGAGAAAAGGCAGTGCTCATTTTTAGAATTCAGTTGGGATTTGGGTGGTGATCCATCTGCACAGCTAGTTGAGATGAAGTATGAATATGTTATGAAGTGTGCTACAATTATTGAATCTTATTCTCTCTCTCTCTCTCTCTCTCTCTCTCTCTCTCTCTCTCAGATCTCATTAATGGAGCCCAGGAACAGTGTGAATTGCCTCCCATGGATGGCTTCCCCCACTGCGAGGGCAAAATAAAAGTAAGACTAATTTCCTATTGCATTTATTTGTTGAGTGGACCAATGGTCTGATTTGATATAAGGCAGCTTCCTAGCCTGAAAAAGCCCCATATATAGAATGGTGTGTAGAACAGATCTTGGTCCACTTACATTGTGTGCACAGCAGTAAACCATATATTGATGCCTTGACTAACACTGAGGTTATTCTACATGTTCATGCATGAAATATTAACATGATGTAATAATTAATGGCCACAGCTGACTTTGCTGATCTCAGATGCTGCTTCCTACCAGTTCACCCATGTTATATATGTATGGTTGGTATTGTAGTTAGGCTTCTAAACCCCATATCTGTTGACTGTATGTGTGTGTTTTTATCTTCTAGTGGATGAAAGATATGTGGCGATCTGATCCTTGTTACGCAAGTTACGGTGTGGATGGATCCACATGCTCCTTCTTTATTTACCTCAGTGAGGTCAGTAAATTTGTATTGTGACTGATATGTAGAGCTGTTGGAAAATCCCAATGACTGACTGGATTTTAAAATAAAATTTCAAGCATTAATCGTTTAGCACAATAAATAATAATTAACGCTAACCACAATTTAACCTCATAGGCCCCATGATAGTGGGGAGAGGCAAAGTGGCTCGGTCCAGAGTTTTTTAGTAACCTTTAACTGCGATTTAGATCGGTGGGCAAAAAAGTAATTAGTCTTGCCCTTTGATATGCACACTGTATTGTTCTTATCATAGTCTGCATAATTATGACCAATAGGTTTCGTTTTTCCTGCAGTATGTTACCGTTTGTACTTTATAACACTTGTAAGATGGAAAATGTCCCCCCCCCCTTTATTTCTCTCTGGTATAACTCCCTACATATTCAAAGTACAGGCTGACTATGAGTTATCCTGGGTGAACTCTTAAATTTTGTTGCACTTTAAAGATTTGTTCCCTTTTAAGGAAGGTCTTTCCTTAATAGAATTTAACTGTCTTTGAATCATCAGCATTTCCTGCTGATGTAGCTAATGAAGAACATAGAATTCTTCTTTTAAATTATTAAAATGCTATGTGCATACTGTGTGTCATAGTACTTCTCCTCCCCCCAAAAAAAATGGCATATTTATTCTCTCAGCTTTCAAGAGGTAATGAAAGGCCAAAACATATTCTTAGAGCAAGTTAGCTTGTTAATATCTCCCTCACCTCAGGAGGTATCATAGTGTTTCCTGGCATGTGTCAGTGAGTATTACTGGTATCTTTTTATAGACATGCTAATTAAGCTCAATATAGATGATGGAACAAATACAGTTC